CGTGTCACAGCAGGGAAAGTGGCCGCGGGTCGTGTTCGTCACCCAATGCGGAGTTCGCGAACGGAAGCAAATTTTTGCGAATGGTGCTGTTCGTGAACCGAATTGTTTGTGAACAGAAGCATTTGTGAACCGAGATATTACTGTATATGCCATCAAGTCATTTTTGGCTCCTAGCAACCACATAAATATTCTCCATGACAGATATAAAACTAACAAATGAATAAGTCATTTTTTTTTTAACTATAGGTCCTATATGGCTAGCCTCTTGTTCTGTAGTGGTGGGTAATATATTTTAGTTTTCTGCTGTTTTCCAGGAATCTGGAACTAGTATGGATGGCTTCCAGAGTAGTATCACTACTTCAAACGAATAGGAAGAATTTCTTTTAAAAGCATTTCTATTTTTTCTCTATGCTCATTTACTTGCTAGCTTAAAATATTTACTACACTTATCTCAGTTTATGAACAAAGCAGAAAGAACTGTCTTTGATCACCAAACATGTAGAATTGCCTTTGCAAACTGCACATTTGTAGTCGTTTTAATGGTGCTATATAGAATGACAGAACATGGTTTTGGAATATATTCTAATGAATTAATGTAGGTTTATCCTGTATGCTGTAACTGTTAAGAGAAGGGAAGCACTATGCAGAGGCAGTACAGAACGCTAACAACTTTTTTGGGGGGAGGGAATGTTAGGTTTGAAATACCATAGCTACTTATTTTGTTAGATTTGTATCCCACTAAAGGCAGTTCACATAGTGGCACACATAACATTCCATCCCTTTTTTTTCTCACCACAGTCCTGTGGGATAGGTTGGCTGAGAGAGAGTGACTACACACAGTAACCCAGTGACCTACTATGGCCAAGAATGAAACTCCATCTCTCTGGTGCCAATACCCACACTAAATTAGCTCATTTGGTTTGTTAATGACAAGGGCAAACCAGCACTAGAGGACAATGCAAATTACTTCCATAGCATTTTGGTATATCCCAGTCTCTTTGCTTATAGGAGAAATGATGGAGAAAGCAGTAGATAGCTGCTTTTTCATAGTGTCACAGTGATGCTTAAATACCCATATTGCAATCTAAGAAAAGAAGATTGGGATAAGGTGCATCCTCTTCAACAAATGGGTGTGACAATAATGTATATTTGCAAGTAGGTATATAAAGTTTGAGCTCTTAAATGCGTTACTTAAGATATGTTTGTAATTTTTTTTCCCCCTAGGAACAATTAGTTGTGGTAGAATTGTCTGGAATAATTGATTCAGACTTTCTGGAAAAATGTGAGAATAAATGCAAGATTTTGGTGAGTGTATTTAACATAATACAAATTAATGTCTCTTTTTATTGAAAAGAACAGTTGATTGTATTCAAAATCTTTTGAAATGGCACAAGTAGTTTAACTTATTTCTTGTTTAACAGAGCAGGCAGAAGCATGATTTTTACCCAGGCTTTTTTTGCTTCTTACAAGTATTCATTCATTGCAACAGACCACGTACTTCCAACTACCTTTTAACCAAAGTTTGCACATCTTAAAATTTCTCCATACATTTCCCTATGCTTAGTAAATATTCTACCAAGGTACACAAATTCACATTCTTGCTCTAGTATTTTCCTTTTTTATATACAACCTATAGTCATTCACACCATTTTCCTTATGAAACAGAACTACCATAGTCTTAGATACATTGATTTCCAGATCCATACTCCTTATAACATCTTAGAAGCTCTCTAATATGCACAGCAAATCATTTTGGTTCTCAGCCAACAAAACAACAGCATTTGTATACAAAAGTCCATATATGTTCACCAACCAACATACTTCTAATATCACTACAAGTATTCCTTATACATTTATCCGTAAGTATATTAAACAACTAAGGGAACATCGTGCATCCTTGCCTTGCTCTCTGACTGACTAAATATTCTCTTTATTCTCATGGATGCTTTACTTCCATCATATACCACTGTTATTGCATTTAGCAACCAACCTCCATATAATGCAGAGCATTCTGTAATTGAAACCTGTTTATCATACTGTTTTTCTAAATCAACAAACATACAGCAAACTGTCTGCCATTTGTAGATTTCTCAGTGACTTGCGGAGCAACAAAAAGCTTTGCTCTGCTCACCTTCTGCTTGCTAAACCCAAATTTAGCTTATTGCTACCTCTTGTATCCTTTCCATCAGAATTCTGCCAAATACCTTCCCAGCCATACTCCCCAAGCTAAAATCAGTCAGGTTTGGTAAATTTTAGTTAGTAATACTACAGACACAACCAAAGACCCATTTTACCCAAGCATGGTCACACTAGGAAGTACAGGTAGTCCTCAACTTACAACCACAATTGGGACCAGAACTTCTGTCGCTAAGCGATGCAGTCATTAAGTGAGATGCACCAGATTTTACAACCTTTTTGCCACAGTCATTAAGCAAATCACCATGATAGTTAAGTGAATCATGTGGTCGTTAAGTGAATCTGGCTTCCCCCATTGACTTTCCTTGTCGGAAGCCCCCTGGGAAGGTTGCAGATGGCGATTACGTGACCCCGGGATGCTGCAACTGTCGTAAATACATGCCAGTTGCCAGGTGCCTGAATTTTGATCACATGACTACGGGAATGCTGTGATGGTCATAAGTGCAAGGACTGGTCGTAAGCCACTTTTTTCAGCACTATCATAACTTTGAACAGTTATTAAATGAATGGTTGTAAGTCGAGGACTACTTGTATATTCAGGGCACTGATACACATTCACAATGTCTAAATACTCGTGCTCCTTAGAAATGGCATGATATATGTCTATCCATGCAGAAAACATTTTGTATGATGTGTCCCCTTATCAGTTTTAGAGATTTCACCAGGCTTAGGCAGTGCTTTGAATTCACTGACTTCCTTTCTGGCAAATGTACTTCTGTCTTCATGTTTTTAGGGAATTGACACAGAGAGACCTATTTTGCAAATAGACAGATACATCTTTGCTGGAGAATATGAAGGTAAGAAAAGTAATCAGTACCTATCTGTATTGTCGAAGGCTTTCACGGCCGGCATACGATGGCTGGTGTGG